ATCATTCTATCAATTTTGGTTGAGATGTTATAAATATTTCGTGAATTATTTAAGTAAAGTTCTTATAATTAATATTATTAATAAAAATACCTTTCTAATTTTAGAGAATTTATGAAAACAAATATTTTTATTCCTAGAAATAAATACTCATTCTCCTATTTGTTATAATTATTTATTTAAAGGTTATTATTTTACATGTTATAAACTTGTGATTAACAAGTTACAGGTTTTATAAACTATGAAAAATAAAATAATTTATTAAAACATGTAATTAACTTATAATTCAACCACTAAACAACATCTTCAAAATCCATGCGCTATTTTTCCCTGGTATTCGGAGCTTGTGGGTTCTAACCTCATGGCGTTTGAAATGTGTTTTCACAATCTAAGAAGGTGTGAGGGAGTGGTCATGATTCACGTTACCACTTTTGCTACTCTTGTAGACTTTGGTGTTGATGTGGCTGTTGCGATCTTTATTGTGGTTGTTGATGAGTGTTTGAGAATGTTATACTAATTGTTTTTTAAAGTAGTTTTGACAATAAATATATTAAAATAAATTTAATATTAGTTTATCAAAATATACTGAAAATATTAAAAAACTATTAATTAAAAATAAAAAAATATTTTTAAAATATGAAAACAACATGTTTATATTATTATTATTATTATTATGGCAACAACTATAAAAGTAATCAAAGATATAATCCTGGTCTGGTATGATATAATTGACTGATTCATCAAATTAACATTAACAATTAACCAAAAAAAAATTGTTATGTTATCACTGTAGCTTTTTAGCTCTCTACACTCTCACATTTTATTATATTATAGATAGGACTCACATTTTATTATATTATAGATAGGAGTAGTGACATTTTTTTCTCTCATTTTGTTCATTGGAACTTTTTCTCTTTAATTTGATTATTTTATGGTTAAATTAATGGTCAATTGCTTTTAATTTATTAAAAAAAAATATAATTCAAAGATAGATAATCAAAATAAAAACAAAACATAGGGAAATTGACTTGTAAATTAGTGTGGGAATTTTTTTTGGTCTACCTACTTTTTTATGAATTCATTTTCAGTCCTTGTAGTTTTTAAAATTTTAATTTTGATTAAAAATTTTATTTCTTATTATTCAATACTCAAGTTTGAGCGATAAGAGGAAAAGTCATAGAAAAATAATGAAAAAAAGAAAATCACTAGATGTCAGATTCTAGTCATAAAAAAGGTCAGTCATGATATCAATAGGCTTTATTTGATGAGAGAAATTTTATTGGAGTGTTTTTTGACTTTTATTTTGAATAGAAAAATAGATTTGGAATTTTTTTTTGATTTGGGTTGATTTTTTGTTTTTTAACCAATTTCTAAATAATTTCAAGTCATAAATACATTTATTTAGGTTTTTACGGTATTTTTTTAGATATTTAAACTCAAAAATAAATTGAAAAATAATCTTTTGAAACTAAAAATACTCTTACCCTAATTTTTTTATGACCCTCCAATTATTATATTCTCCGTTAAGGGACAACATATATTTTGTTGTTATAAATGATAAAAGAGGTTTAGCTCACAAGTCAAATCTCTTTATAGGATGACGTGCAACTCATATATTTGTTATGTTTTGTTTTTATTTTTTTTAAATATCCTCCATTTTACATTTTAATTCATTTAAAAAGATTAGTTCAAAATTAATTTAATTTATGTTTAATTTGATACCATTATTTTATCTTATTAGAACATGGTTGTTGTTATTATATTGATGATTTTTTTTTATAACAACTTATTATAATTTTCATTTTGAAAAAAATTCTTTGATTGCAGAGGTTTTTGGGTATTGTATGATTAAATATTTTTTTATTTTATTTTTATTTTTTTAAGAAAGTTTATGGTATTATTTTTTTATAATATTAATTATTTTATTTTTATTATACAACCCTTCATAATGGTTTTCTTTTCTTAAATTTTATATGGTAGCTATCCTATGAAGTTCAAGTTTTATTGTAGTATAGTTAGATAAAAAACAAAATCTAAAACAATAAGTTATTAAACTCATCCTCCTGCTTCGTAATTCAATTTATAAGTTTAGAAAGTTATTTTGAAATTACTTGAATTGATAAAAAAAAAATGTCACTATCTTAATATATATAAAAAAATAAAAAAATATCATCTTGAAAAAAAAAATATTAAATTGGGTTTTTTCCTAGTTACATGTAGAAGTTTAGCAAACTCCTATACACTTCAATTTAAAACTTTAGCCAGGCAAAATCCAAGTCGAGAGATCTCTAAATTAGCTTTGGGTTTGGTAAAACAGTCAGAAAGTCAGCCATGGCAACTTGATAGAGGAAGAATGGTGTTCTTATATATTTTTTAATCTATC